GATCAGTACTATACTAACTCTTCACTAACTCCATATCTACATTACTTACAGTGTACAGTATGACAAGTGCTCGCCTCACTACTAATGTTCCAAACGTGACAATCTTAGTTCACGATTGTTGTTTATACATGACACAGTTAATTCATTGACCCAGTAACTAAGTATCAGAAGGTTACATACAGAACCTGCTCTAAATATTACTGGTACACATGCAAATTCATTTGCTTTTGTACAGTCTGTTTTAGGTATCAGTTTATGTTTAAGAGCCTGTTTTAAGTATCGGTCACTATTAGAACTACTGCTTTGTTATAGAACAGTTTGATGTTAATGTTGGTGATCTTATTGATAAAATTGATACAATGAGTCCAAAGTCAGGTTGAAGACTTCTTCTGGCCAAAATTATTTAAACAGCCTTGAGCACAAGTAACGCAGACAAACTAGAAAAACTTCAACTTGAGTCTGCACGGATAATCACGGGTTTACCCTCTTATTCTAGTAGAACATTTTTATACTCTGAAAGTGGATTCGAACCCTTATCTCAGAGAAGATCTCGGAGAAAACTTCACGCCAACCTATCTTACTTCTCTACTGTCTCCTCTTGTCTCAGAAATTTCACAATACAACCTCCGTAATGCCGATAATTATTCTCTTCCTAATTTCCGACTTCAACTTTCAAACTCATCCTTTTTCCCTTCTACAATCCGACTTTGGAACCAATTAGACCTAGACATAAGACACAGAGTTTTACATACAGCGTTTAAGAATTCTCTCCTAAATCTTCAAAATTTAAATGTTCCAAAATATTATCTGATTGGTGATAGAACACTTAACATTTTACATACCAGATTAAGAAACAGAGCTAGTACCTTAAATAATGACGTATTCCATGCAAATCTAATAAATTTCCGACACTGTCAATGTGGTCATCCTGTTGAAGATACTTACAAATGTATCATTTCTTTTTCGCTTGTAACATTTATGTACAACAAAGAATTAAATTATATCGTTAACTAAACTATTTCATTCCTCTGATACCTTTTGTTAGTTTGGAATTAAGTCACATATATTTTGATAAATATCCCCCCCTCCCCCTCCACTTTTTTTACAGAAATTGTAAGATCTTGGTATTAATATTATCTATGATTGTTAATTTATTAGTCGAAAATCATTTTTATCTTAAATGTTCAAGAGTCGTGTTTCTGGTCTTCCCCGATACAAACGGCACTAGTGAAACGAAATTACCAGAAGGAATCGAATTTACAAGAAGAAGGCAACAGAGGCACTAGTGCCGTCTGTGTCGGAGAAGATCACTACCACGATCTCAAATTAAATATCTTCAAGCTATGACTCCCCCCCCCTCTCTCTCTCTCTCTCCCCCCTCTCTCCCCCTCTCTCTCTCACTCTCTCTCACTCTCTCTCTCTGTGTCAGTAACACTAAACTTAGTTGAAAATATTAATCAATTTAAAAATTGCCATCTTGTATATATATATATTTCATTACGTTATAGGGAAAGGGCTTTACATAAGTTGGACAACTTGTGCCCAATCCATTTTGTATATTAGATGCAAATAAAATTATATTTAAATCAAAAGCACAAGAGGTGTTTTTATATCTTTAGTTATCCAAGTAGTAAATGTTGAGTTTTGCGATGTTAACAAAACTATATAACAGGCGTATATAACTGTATAACAGGCGTATATTACTATATAACAGGCGTATAGTTAAGGATTAACTTGAACATATTTTTCATGTTATGGAGCTATAACACAAAAAACGGAGTGTACTCTTAATAAACCGCGAAGCGGTTTATGATGAGAGAACACTCTGGTTTTTTTGTGTTATAGCTCCATATCATGAAAAATATATTCAAGTTAATCCTTATAATTTAATCTACTATACACAATCCCTGTGGGAATCCACTTGTATTGATGGACTCTTTCTCTTAGAAATTATTGTGCTGCTGTATCAGCCAATCAAAAGCGACGTTACAAATGGTGACGTCATTTTTTATGTTATGGGCTGATAACATAATTTTTTAAGCCAATGAAAATGCTTGTTACAAGCAAGTTTAAATTATAACTATATAACAGGCGTATATTATTATATAACAGGCGCATATTACTGTATAACAGGCGTATATTACTGTATAACAGGCGTATATTACTATATAACAGGCGTATATAGCTATATAACAGACGTATATTACTATATAACAGAACAGGCGTATATTATTGTATAACAGAACAGGCGTATACAACTATATAACAGGCGTGTATTACTATATAACAGCACTTAAAGTACCCATGCACTAGTCTACTGAAGAATCAGAAGAAAAAACCCATAAAAAACAACCCAATAAATCATAGACATTATTAATTTTAATATTCTTTTTGTGAGAACAAGTTTTATTTATACAAATTATTTTGAGATTTTGCAATTTAACGTTTGCAACAGATCAAACAAAATATTATTAAAATCGTTGTTAAATTATATGTTTTACTTTCATAAATAAAAGACAAATCAGTGTATGTGTTGTCTGGTCTGTGTCGGACAATACGACCATGTATTCACTGTCCTGGGTCCAGCTGCAGGCGACCTCGTGTGACCCGTATCACAACACTACATGACAAAACCACCACACCTATCAATAATGCTGCTACAAATATAATGCTATTGAAACTGGTGTCCTGCGCATGACCGGAAGCTTCTTCCACGTCCGGTTTGCCAACCATACTTCTTCTAAGGCCTGTAAACAGAAGCGCCTGCTCAAGTGTGCGGAAAGGTTATAATAAAATTATTTAACCTGATGTATATTGTTTTTGAGCTATCAGAAGGTGCTGGATTATCTTAAGGTTTTGCTCAAGTCAAAATTGTTGCCTATAATGAGCTACAGAGAAACCATGTTTTTAATATAACATGTCCCTCTTTGACAAATCAGTCAGTATTTTTAAAAAGATATTGAAACAATGTCCCAGTTCAGTATTTTGAGTCTACCAATGAAGAGTTAATTTACTACCACAATCCCATTTTAGCTGAATAATAGTATCAACACATTGTTATTTCTTGTGAGAAATGCAATGTGTTTATTTGACTTCAAAATACAATAAGTTTTCCATAAATCATTACCTTGGTACAATTTCTATGTGCTCCGGATATTAGTTTTTCTACTTTCATTTATTTAAGTACAGTATTTGCTATATTTCCCATAGTCTTACCATTGACATGGAGGCCGCCATGCTGGTTTCACTATTACAGAAGTTCGCGAATAGAAAAAGCGTTTCTGTGAAAATCAAACACCGATATCCCACCAAATATGTCACTTTTGGGTAAAATGTGCCAATAGTAAGACATGCATGGGGTACTAAATAGATATCACGATCATAACTACTTACAATCATCATCAATTATATTTCGATGTTCATTCCCTGTCGCCCTCAAACTCTAAACGGAAGTCACACAATTATTCCGCACCAAATTTCTTTTTTATTGGAATTTGATATGCAAGTATCAAGTATATGCAGTCATTCCATTTAGGATAAAATATATATTACTAAATAGTGTTTTCTTAATTTCGACCCGTAAATATTTATTTGTTCCTTCTTAGAAACGGAACTCTTTAGTGTGAGAGTAAAGGTGTTGTATACTATTGTTTGGTGTATGTAAAGTGTTGTGATTGAAGATCGCAAGTTGATGCTAAGAAATAAAGGAGGTATTTAGACTGTCAAGAAACACGTTTGACGTGAGCTGTCAAAAACATCGGTGAAATAAATCACCGAAACGGACCGAAACTGATCGAATCGGACCGAAACTGACCGCACCGGACCGAAACTGAACCGAAACGGACCGAATCGGGACCGAAACGAAAGGTATACGATTATTCCAAGCGAATAATGTATTTGAATACAGAAAACACTTTTGAATAATGTGTGTGACCGTGTGTGAACAGAACTAGAACCAAAACTGTTTTCGGTCCGTTTCGGTGTTTCGTCGCCATCGAAACACCTCCGGTAAACATTTTCCATATGATCTATTTTGTATGTGTTATCTCAGCGGAAGGTGAAGCCCCTATACAATTAGTGTCTGAGCAGCGTACACTTGGTTTGGCAAGTGTTTTGTTAGCAGAGTGTCAAGGATGCCGTCAAACATGTACTTTTGAAACAAGTCCAAAGCTTCCTCATTCAAGGAGATTTGATATTAATGTAAGGGCAGTTTGGGGGAGTATTGTAACAGGTGATGGACCTGCTCATATGAATGAGCTTTTGGCAACACTCGACTTGCCAGGTATGTCACAAACATCATTTTCATCAATGGAGGAGGAGATAGGTGAGTGGTGGAAGAATGCTTTGCAAACCGAGTTGCTAGTTGCGGGCGCAGAAGAAAGACAGATTGCCATTAACAAGGATAACTACCATGGGGACGTTCCCAGTATTACAGTGATTGCTGATGGTGGATTGTCCAAACGGACCCATAAACATAGCTATAATGGGCTTGGTGGTGTTGCTATTATTATTTGACAGGAGACTAAAAAACTACTACATATTGGTGTTCGCAATAAATACTGCTATATTTGCAATAGTGCACAACAGAAACAGCAACCAGCAAAACTCCAAAAATGCTTTAAAAACTTGAAAGACAGTAGCCAGTCTATGGAGGCTGACATAATTGTTGAAGAGTTTTGCCAATTTGAATCAAAACATGGTGTCCGCTATATGAAGCTGATCGGGGATGGTGATTCGTCTGTCTTCGCTAGCATAAGGGAGTAAGTCCCAATTTGAGGGAAAGATGTTGAAAAACTTGAGTGCTCAAACCATGCATGTAAATGTGTACGCTCTAAATTAGAGAAACTTGTGGCAGAAAATCCGGCCTACAAGGGCAAACACCATCTCACCAAGGTTACAAGACTGAGAATTGAAAGTTCAATACGGTGTGCTATTCTCATGAGNACATTTGGACTTCAAAAAGAATCACAAGGAAGCAAAATATACATTTTACATGTACTATGATGTGAGTCTTGTTTCCTTCCACCTCCATATTTGCTGGGCTAACAGAAATGTAAATACCGGTGCAATACTCATTTGTTAGCTTTGATTTGTTTTATTTCACCTTATTTACCTCCTCCATCAAGAGCCAGGGTCAAAGTCAGAGATCCACATTGTCTTTGACCTTTGGCCCCAAAAGACCTTGACCATTAACCCAGTGACCCTGATCTTTGGTCAGTTGACTTATTCTTTGATTCCGACCAATTTTGCTTCTTAATATCATAACAAAATGTTCATCAGTGAAAAATACAAAACTTGACCTTGACCCTTTGGACACCGTAGCCTGGACCTAAGGTCAGTTGAATCTGTGTTAAGTTCTGAACAACATTGCTTCATAATGTCATAACAAAATTTTCATTAGGGAAAAAGTAAAAAAAATAACCTTCACCTTTAACCCAGTGACCTTGACCTTTGGTCAATTGACTCCTTGTTTAATTCTGAGCAACATTGCTTCAAAGTGTCATAGCGAGATGTTCACCAGTGAAATGATACAAATTTTAACCTTGACCTTTGACCCAATGACCTTGACCTTTGGTAAGTTACTCCTTGTTTAATTCTGATCAACTTTGCTTCATCATGTCATAACAAAATGTTAATCAGTGAAAAGAAGAAAATTTGACCTTGACCTTTGAATCAAATTACCTTGACCTTTGACCTCGACTTTTTACCTCAGTGTGACTCTTTGTTTAATTACGAACAACTTTGCTTCATAATGTCATAGCGAAATGTTCACCAGTGAAAAGCTACAAAATTTGACCTTGACCCCTAACCCGATGACCTTGACCTTTAGTCAGTTGACTCATTGTTTATTTCTTATCAACTTTGCTTCATAATATCATAACAAAATGTTCATCAGTGAAAAGATGTAAAATTTGACCTTGACCTGTGAACCTTATGACCTTTACCTTTGACCTTGACTTTTTACCTCAATGTGTATTTTTATGAACTGAACATCTTGACCAAGTTTCATGTACATCGGTCAATTAATACTAAAGTTATCAGCCAGGAACAAAATTTGTGGACGGACAGACAGACAGACAGAGAGAGTGATTTCTATAGGGCACCCGTATCTCCGATACGGGGCCCTAATGAGGCTACTTCGACTGGAAATAGACAGTTAGCAGTAAAAAAAATCTGAAACGTGACATCATTCAATCAGTCTATCATGTTTTTGGTAAACATGACAACTGCTCGGACTTCTGCAAGGCCAAACCTAAAGCAGATACTGCATCGACATCATCAACTGAAGTAGGTTATTCACAGTTAACTGTGGAAACGGTCGAAGATGTTACAAATGACCAGGTCATAATATGGTCAGAAGGATCCTCTGTAACGGCACAGGACGAGTCCCGCTTAGGAACGTCTACAGTTTACAGTAAGGTGGAGAAGTTCATCCTCCAAAATGTGTCAAACATCCTGTCCACCATTGCAGACAAAGGCAGCAGACTTATTGGATGCATGACAACCAACCTAGCGGAAAGTTGGATGCATATCCGTTCCAAATTTGATGGTGGCAAAGTTTATAATTTATGTAATAGAGGATCGTGGCATGGAAGGTGTTATGGGGGTGCACTACGTATGAATCTAGGGCCACAATGGTCCCCAAAAGTGTGGAAAATATCAACTGCAACTGAACCTGGCAACAAATTCACCAGTTTGTATGAAAAAAGGGAAAGACTGCACTTCAACACAACCGTTCACAAATCAAAGCCAGAAACAAAGGCAAAAAGATGGAAGAGAAAGATCAGTAGCACAGTCCAACACAAAGAAAGCCCGACTATCATATGGACCTGAAGTTTTAGATGTGTCCGGTGATGTGATAACTTCAAACTTGGATGATCTTCAGAACAATTTCATTGAAGCAAACATCAACTTAACCTGTGGTAAGATAAAGGAAATTGAGAAGGCAACACTCAACCAGTCTCAGTCTGGCTTGTGGCATGATGAAAGAAGAAAGAGATTAACAGCATCCAATGTTGGCCCTATCGTTCGTCGAAATCCTGCTTTACCTGTCTTAAGTATAGTCCGAAAACATCCCTACAGTAAATTTCAAGGAAATCGTTATACAAAAAATGGATTACTTCAGGAACACAACACTTTAGAAGAATATAAATTTTAAAAAAAGCAGAGGAAAACATGAATGTTGAAATCGAACCTGTTGGGCTGGTTATTGACAAGAAATACAAATTCTGGGGAGGAAGTCCAGATGGTAAAGTTTGTGTCAGTAATGGAGTTGTTGGATTGGTGGAAGTAAAGAATGTCCTTTACATCAAAGCATTGACATTTTATCAAGCTGCAGAAAGTCAAAAGCAATTCTGTTTAGAAATTCAAGATGGCAAACTATCCCTACGAGAAAAACATGACTATTTCTCTCAATACCATGGGTTGTTGAATGTGTGCGACTATCCCTGGATAGATTTGGTTGTCCGAACATGTGATCCTTATCAACTACACATCCAGAAAATTCATCGGAACAAGGAATTTTGGGAACGCAACATGCTCCCTAAACTTACAGATTTTTATAATAAGGTTCTGCTTCCTGGATTAACCCTTCCAAGAGAGTGAAAAAGTCCAGGAATAAGAGAACCAGGTAATTGGGTTAGTTTATACATTAAATTGGTATATAACAGGATAACATGTTGAATGTTAACAGTCATTTGTAAAACTGTGTACTGGTTAAATCCATTACATGACTAGGGTCCGTACAGACCTTGAAAAGTGCTTAGTTTTGAGAGGGGTGCTTAGAAAGAAATACTTAGAAATGATCCTGTGCTTAGTTTTTTTTCATGGAGTGCTTGACAAATACTTGTGATTATTGTTTTCCTGCACATGTATGTCTCCATTTTACTTACAAAATTTAAACAAAGTAATTAAAAATAAAAATGGGGAAATGTGTATTCGGTGATCACCTGTTAATATTAGTTATTACAGTTGTTTAATTTCTAAAATGATGAAGTGGTTTTAAAGCGCATCCCTCCTTTTTCTACTAATTTTTTCTGTACGAACCCTGCTTTAATATGATTAATATGAATAAATATTCTTTCAAATGTTGAAACTGTACACTTACATTTTTTTAATTTTGATTCTGACACTTACATCATTGTTATTTCAGTATGTTGATTTAACAAGCAAGAAGCCAACAATTGCAAGTAGATGTAAAACACCAACAGACAATGAATTTGACTCTACAGGAAGACAGAATGCAGAAACAGACCATCTCTAAGGTATATTGTATCAGTAAAATATTATATTGACACCCTAAAAATTGTTAACATTATTTATAAAAAACTTTAAAATTCACAATAGAAACATATGCATCCTAACTGCTGTATTCAGGTACAATTTACATAAAGCACGTATACATTTACAGTGTTAAACTGCTACCAGACAATATATAAGCAATATGAATAACACCTGGGTTACAGGTTAATAGTCTAAGAATGAAATTGGTTGCATAATCTATGACAAAACATAAGGAGACTGCATTGACTGGAATACAAATAGTCTTTATTTAGAAAACAGAAAAGGGAGATACATAATAGTTCCTAGTTTCTCATAATGTATGGATTTGACTTTAGTTTAGTGCTATATAAAAGTATGAAAATTCAAATTTTTACAGGAAAGGGAGGACAAAGACTCAGAAGACATCTTCAGGTAGAGGCAGCCAATATAGTGACAACTCCATCACTAAGGTACATGCAATTAAAGCGTACTATTTTATCTGTTTAATTATGTCCCTTCATGACATTCCCTAATCATATAATGTTTGTGGTGAAATAATAAGAATAAGTATGATGTTTCCTATATTTGTATTTTATCTGTTTAATTATGTCCCTTCATGACATTCCCGCATCATATGTTTGTGGTGAAATAATAAGAATAAGTATGATGTTTCCTATATTTGTATTTTATCTGTTTAATTATGTCCCCTCATGACATTCCCGCATCATATGTTTGTGGTGAAATAATAAGAATAAGTATGATGTTTCCTATATTTGTATTTTATCTGTTTAATTATGTCCCTTCATGACATTCCCGCATCATATGTTTGTGGTGAAATAATAAGAATAAGTATGATGTTTCCTATATTTGTATTTTATCTGTTTAATTATGTCCCCTCATGACATTCCCGCATCATATGTTTGTGGTGAAATAATAAGAATAAGTATGATGTTTCCTATATTTGCATTTTATCTGTTTAATTATGTCCCTTCATGACATTCCCGCATCATATGTTTGTGGTGAAATAATAAGAATAAGTATGATGTTTCCTATATTTGTGGTTTATCTATTTAATTATGTCCCTTCATGACATTCCCTAATCATATTATGTTTGTGGTGAAATAAATATGAATAAGTATGATGTTTTTCCTAAATTTGTATTTTTTACTTCATAGGTCTACTTCACGAGTCTCAAAAGTGAAATTTGTTTGAAGAAGTGTAAAACACCAGTGGATTATTGATGCAGTAGCAGATCAACGTGAATGGTATAAGGGTACAGTGTTGAGTGTTATTGCTGGTGTTGACGGCGAGGACAATGCAGTTTATGAAGTTATATATCAAGGAGAGCAGGAACCGGTCGAAGTTGACCATTTGCTTGAGGACTTCAGATCTTCATCCTTGATATTTATTGACGTTTAAAAGTGAGTAGACATTTATTCAATAAGAAAACTAAATCTTCAATTATGTTCATATAGGTTGAAGTCAAGGTGAAGATAATTGAAGTGTTTGTGTCTAGATAGACAAATGGTTAAACTTCTATATGGCTAATGTAATAGTATCCAAGATAGATTTCAAGATTTCAATCATATTGTTTTGTTAATTTAGTGAAAATGGTGAAAAATTCATGTTACCAATATCTGTAGGTTACGTGTTTCAAAATTAGCCCCTCATATAAGAGTCTTATACAACGTCAATGTGAAATATGTGAAGCAATATATTTTGCGATCAAAGACTTAATGGAATATAACCTTGACCTTTGAACTTAACACATTTAATATATGGGAGGATCATGTATTCTGTGCACACAACATTCCTGTAAAGTTTGCTAACTGTTATATTTATAGGATTAAGGTTTGAAAATTTTATCACTCTCAGGTGTAAAATAATACACTACAGGGCCTCCATACATTTCCACAAAAGTAGTCCCGAAATCTTATCTGCCATTTCCTTTTTTTCATGGGATTTCTTGCCAAATCAGCTGTTTATAAGGTGAATATGTCAAGACTCATCAAAATTATTTGTAATAAGGCCGGTTATTTAGCTTCCTTATTCAATAATGAACATTTTGATGTATTGGTTTACATACCAATGACAATTTTAGAGCTAAAAAGTTATGCTGACTTTTGCCTTAAATTGACCTAAGCGGAACCTTAATTTCTACTTACCAATAGGTCGGTGCACGACGCCAGATGTCGTCGCCTTGTATAGGTACGTCCCGGATGCTGTTAAGACTGAACGTCGTGATCTGTGACGACACTGTTGGTCACACATGGATGAGAAGTCGGTCGTGTTACAGAACGTGGCAGTGCAGTATAGATACAAGTTGCCCTGATCAGTCGCATACACGAAATCTCGGAATACGAGTCTGGTCTCGTGAGACGACATGTATAGTACACGTGTGTTAACGTCAATAGCACACCTGCAAAGAAAAGTTACGTTTGCTGTTAGACTATTTAATGGCACTTTACAGGACTTATTGACTGAAATTATTGAAATATATCGTTTTCTTTCATCCGAGTTTTAGACATAACAGAGCCTTTATTTTCATCAGTGACATCATCATCAGCAGTAGCATCATCATTTCCCGACAGTTATCTTACACTCTTCCTCCATAGAGAGTAATCGACCACCCGTACACCACAAGAAATGGGAATATTTATGCAACTCACGCATTCCTAATGAGGTAGAACTTGAGATGGTCCCCCGCCCCCGGGGAGGGGAGGGTGTAACAGGACTCGACCCTCATCTTAACATCTGTTTCTGTTACGGATGTGGTGAGTTTGACGTAAATGTCTTTCCCAATGTCAGCCGAGAGCGGGTTATCGGCCATGATCGAGTTATCGCTCATATGCTGTAGGTAGTTTGAGTCCCTGTAGATATAGAAGCCACATGATGGTGTTTTATACGATATAAGTATTATGAGATACTCAAATCACAGATTTATAGTGAATAGTTTATAGAAAATATCCATAGAATATTGGAAATAAGATTCGTGTATTAGAGGATACACATATTTAAGGATATATATATTATCAGGAACTTGAATAATATAAAATGTATATATTATATAGATCACTATTGAATATTATTTGATATATACATAATATATATGTATTTAATGCAGAATAAATAATTTAATGAAAATTGTATTACTGATTGGTACATATAACATATCAAAGGAGACATTTATTGTAAGTGTATTATAGAAAACAAATGTATATTATAATCATACATTGTATGAAACACATATTATATTATACGCATATTAAACAAATGTTATATTATCACATTTAAGACACATATCATTTTTGCACGATTCAAACACATTATATTCTCATATGTTAAACATATTATATTATACACATATTAAACACATATCGTATCATACAAATGTTCAACACATATTATATTATATACATACTAAACATAATATACCTGTATCAAAGATCAGACATGTAAAAACATATATGTTAAAGGATATAACATAGATATAAGATATATTTTGTATGACAAAACAGTCACAATAAGAAACATGATGTATATGTGTTGACTTCAAATATTTTTTTTTTGTTATTCAGAGTGATATTATAATCTTTACTTCTAAAAAACAACAACAAGACGTTGTCATTGGTGTGTGGTAGGTAATGCAAAGTCGTGAAGTTAGCTAAATCAACACAAATATTTGTTGTCCAATACCATATCATCGTAAACTGAAAGCACACATCTCGTTTAAGTGTTGATTTAGAAAGTCACCAATATGACTTACGAGTTAATATGTAAAATCACACATCTGACTTACGGGAGTGAGTATTCCTTTTGTACTGGTGTAAAACATATGGGATACCACTCGAGCTTACCTGCAAAATGTCATACCTGTAAAACCTATAGGACAACACTCGAGCTTACCTGTAAAATGTCATACCTGTAAAACATATGGAATATCACTCGAGCTTACCTGCAAAATGTCATACCTGTAAATCATATAGGATACCACTCGAGCTTACCTGTAAAATGTCATACCTGTAAAACATATGGAATACCACTCGAGCTTACCTGCAAAATGTCATACCTGTAAAACATATAGGACAACACTCGAACTTACCTGTGAAATGTCATACCTCTAAAACATGTGGAATACCACCCGAACTTACCTGTAAAATGTCATACCTGTAAAACATATGGAACACCACTCGCGCTTACCTGTAAAATGTCATACCTGTAAAACCTATAGGACAACACTCGAGCTTACCTGTGAAACGTCATACCTGTAAAACATATGGGATACCACTCGAGCTTACCTGTAAAATGTCATACCTGTAAAACATATGGAATACCACCCGAGCTTACCTGTAAAATGTCATACCTGTAAAACCTATAGGACAACACTCGAGCTTACCTGTGAAATGTCATACCTCTAAAACATATGGAATACCACTTGAGCTTACCTGTAAAATGTCATACCTGTAAAACCTATAGGACAACACTCGAGCTTTCCTGTGAAATGTCATACCTCTAAAACATCTGGAATACCACTCGAGCTTACCTGTAAAATGTCATACCTGTAAAACATATGGGACACCACTCGCGCTTACCTGCTAAATGTCATACCTGTAAAACATATGGAATACCACCCGAGCTTACCTGTAAAATGTCATACCTGTAAAACATCTGGAATACCACTCGAGCTTACCTGTAAAATGTCATACCTGTAAAACATATGGGACACCACTCGAGCTTACCTGTGAAATGTCATACCTCCAAAACATCTAGAATACCACCCGAGATTACCTGTAAAATGTCATACATGTAAAACATATGGAATACCACCCGAGCTTACCTGTAAAATGTCATACCTGTAAAACATATAGGACAACACTCGAGCTTACCTGTGAAATGTCATACCTCTAAAACATATGGAATACCACCCGAGCTTACCTGTAAAATGTCATTGAGATGCTGTAATGTCCATAACCTGAAGTTTGTGGGTTATTATTGCGCGTATGTACCCGGTTTTGTGTCTCTATGAAATGTTGCGATATTGTCTCGTGCTTGGCCATATTGCATTCCAGGTCTATGCGGAACCGGTAATCTCTTATGATGAACTTGTAGTTGGCGTCCCTGATTGCATAAACTAGGATGTTGGCATATACGTCACTTCCGGTAGTTATCTGATAATAAGGAAATCATTTTTTGTTTTTTTTTCAATTAATTATTGAAAAACAGTTCAATATTTGATAGAAAATATCGAAATGACAAAGGTATACAGTGATCGATAAAAACGGAGTGGCAAAGAAATGGACATAGTTACTCGCATTAACTCTACTTCACCTCAACACGCCGTCTTTTTTCGATTGTGGTTGCATTTGATTTCATCAATGCAGCGTGATATCACTAAAAAAAGCGAGACGGTTAGTGTACTTGTACATTGAAATTGATCAAATTTCTCTGGAACACCGTTTGAACGATAATAACGCTGGAGGTAAACGGTACTTTATCCTACAGTGCGTGTAGTTAGTTAATATACGTATTCTTTACTGTGTTAGACGGTTCGGAACAGCAACTCTACGGTTATGGAGGCGGTTGGTATACTTATTCTGTGGTAAATTAGGCGGTTTATATACCTTCTCTATGGTGCATGAGGCGGTTCGTATATTTAGTCTGTAGATAATGAGACAGTGGTATTATTATGTTGTTGTGAATGAGACTACGTGAGATAACTTGTGTACGTAACTGGTGGTTAGCCAGACGTCGGTGGTATTTGACTTTATTTGAGGATAAAGACTGGTGATGATCATACACTGTATATTTTCCTCAATACTTTTGAGTTTAAAGTTTATATATACCAATAATGACAGACTTACGCTGTGATGAGTACGGCAGTCATTATACTGTTGGTATATAACCAGATAGTCCCCTGATCGGTAACCCTGGCAACCCGCCTCACCAAGGTATATGTCGGTAGGATCAAAGTCGATGTGGCGCTTGTAAAGCTCGGGAAGATATATCCGAACTTTCCATGCGTTAGCAGAACATTCAAGGCTGATGACACTCATATAGGATTCTGATAAAGGTGAAAATAATAAAGTTTACATCATTCAAACAACTGAAATTTTTACTTGAGTTCAAATCAATTTTTCTCTTTATAATGTTGAAAATTGTGTTTCATATTGGACGATTGTTTCCTGTTCTTATGCAAATGACGTGAAAGGTGTTTATGAAAAGTTATTTTCAAATACAACATGTATATATATAATTAAGGTAAACAGACGGGTCTACATGGAAGAGTTATAAACCAGGTGTTGTTCTGATCTAGAAGGGGGTCTGCATGGAAGAGTTATAAACCAGGTGTTGTTCTGATCTAGAAGTACGAAACAGCTGCATGATGTAGTGTTATTTAATTTTGCTAAGTGTAACTATTACCAAAGTTAGAATTCTAATGACATGTGTGTGTGTGTGTGTGTGTGTGTGTGTGTGTGTGTGTTTGTGTTTGTGTGTATTTGTGTGTTTGTGAGTGTGTGTGTGTGGGGG